TGGCGTCACTTAACACTGCTGTGCAATTTCTTAGATCATTGTAAGTACTGCCAAATTTCGTATGCTTTTGTTTTTAAATTTAAACAAAATAAAAGACTATCAATCGGGTTTTTAAATGCTGGCTCCTTGGGAACCCGCCATGATGAGTTTCTCGCAGCGATATCGAGATTCGACATGGACATTTTAGCCATAAATGAAACATGGCTTAAGCAAGGGGAGGAAGAGCGTGCACCATCGCCACCAGGTTATCGCTTAGTTCAACTACCACGTTCACCTAAAGTCCGTATGCGAGGAGGTGGCGTGGGATTTTATATTAGGCTTGGTATCACTGCTCGTAGTATTTTAATAGGTAAAAATGACTCTGTTGAGCAGATGTGGATAGCGCTCAATGTTAATGGTATCAAGGTAGCTATTGGTGCAGCATACAGACCCCCTTGACTTAATGTAGACAAATTTATTGACGTACTTACAGATTCGATTTCCTCTATAGCTAATTATGAGCATACCATCTTACTTAGAGATTTCAATATTGACTTGTTACATACGCATAAACCTAACGCGCAAAAGTTACAAAATTTCTTTAACTACATAAAACTTACTCAGTATGTGAACCAGCCGACCCATTTCACAGGAAATAGTGAAACTTTAATTGATTTAATATGTGCCAATACGAATGTATATTGTGTATCTCTTAATCATATTCCCGATCTTTGCAGTCACGCGCTATTGACATTCCAGTTAAATATTAAAAATATTAGAGGACCTCCTAAATTACTTACAGACCATTAAGAGAAATTGACATTAACAGTTTTAATCAGGACCTGGAATGTATAGAATGGGAAAATATAATAAATGATGATTTGAATAAAATGGTGGAAAATTTTACAAATATAACACTTTAACTTTTTAATATACATGCTCCTATGAGAACTTGTTTAATAAGAAATAAATCACATCCATGGATAACCTTTACTATTAAATAAATGATGAAGTTACGCGATACACTAAGTAAAACTACTAAATTAGATATTCACATAAAATTCTATAAAGATCTGAAAAACGTTGTAAATTCGGCAATACGTAGCGAAAAAATAGCATATTTCAATAAATATATCAATTTTACTAACAAGCCAAAACTCTTATGGAAAAATATCAAACAAAGTGTTGCCAACTTTAAGAAAGAGGACTGTAAAATGGCATCCCATTTATATAATCCTGAAGATATTAATACATACTTTTTTAAGCTTCCCGATATCAGTGAAGACCCCATTAGATTGTCAGTCTTAACTCGCTTTGAATTTGATAGATTTCGAATTAATACTTTTAAAATTAAAGACAGTTGATGAAACAATAGTATTAAACGTAATATCATTTAAAACAAATGCACGGGGTGATGATGGCATTACTTTAAATACGATATTGCTTACTTTACCAAAAACTCTTCAACTAATTACGAGATTGGTTAACGAATCTGTTACGAGCGTTTTTCTCGAAAAATGGAAAGTAGCCTCTGTGAATTCGATTCCAAAGAAACCAAACCCAAGTAACTATGGGGAACTTCGCCCAATTAGTATTCTACCATTCATGTCCAAGATCTTAGAAAGAATTGTCTGTACACAGATGACAAAATACCTGGAAGAAAATAAAATCCTACCTGAAAAACAATCCGGCTTCAGAAGGTGTCGTAGTACTACCACGGCATTGATCGATGTCGTGGACGAAGTTTTAACAGCACGGGACAGTAGGCAAGGTACTTTATTGGTCTTGCTTGATTTTTTCCGTGCATTTGATACGATAAACATAACGCTTCTTCTCTCTAAATTAGCATACTATGGTTTCGACATTTCCACTATAAAGTGGTTTACAAGTTACCTTTCCAATCGTCTGCAGTACGTTAAAATATCCGGTGATAACGGCTCTGACATAGTATCGTCAACAATGCCTGTTGTTAGCGGTGTACCACAGGGTTCTATTTTAGGGCCACTACTTTTTATATTATACATATCAGATATCGTTACTACAATCAATTTTAGTAAGTATCACGTATACGCTGACGACCTCCAATTCTTTATATCGTTTAAACCTTGCGATACAGAGTTGGCAATTAGTAAATCTCAAGCTGATTTGAAATGTATTTCAAAATGGTGCAGTAACAACAGTTTGATAATTAACCCTTCTAAATCAAAGTACATGTTGCTCGGAACACGTAAACAAATTGACAACATCCTAGCTTGGAATCTCGAAATTTCTGTTGACAGTTGTCCCATTGATCGCGTATCGGAAGCTCGGAACCTGGGATTGATTATGGATGACAGGTTGCGCTTTGAGGAACATGCTATAGAGACAATGCGTAACTGTTTCTATAGACTTAAAGTCTTATACAAAATTCGCGAGTAATTGCATGCGCATTAAGTTGTGTGAAACTCTCATCTTGTCAAAGTTCATACGACAACTTTGACAAGATGAGAGTGACGCAGTTTTTGGTGAATGCTTAATGGCAAGAACTAAAAAACTGTTACAACGAATACAAAACGCTTGCGTACGTTTCTGTTTTTCAATACCACCTCGATCTCATGTCACTCCATTCCTAAACCGACGCGACTTGATGAACATGTCCACCAGACGGAAGCTTCACCTCGCCTCCCTGCTCTTCGGAGTGGTTAAAACTGGGGAAACTTCTTACTTATACGACAAGCTCAATTTCTCACAGCGTTGCGTTAGAGCAGCACCGCGACTTAATTACACACCGTATAACACTGCTGCTTTCCGTGGTAATTTTCGTTTTTCCGCTACTAGGTTCTGGAATGATATCCCCCCCCCCCACGATAAGAAACTCGAAAACCATAAATTAATTCAAGTTAAAATTTAAAATGTTTTTGCTCTCCTTACAAAAGTCTAGCACTTAATTGTCACTCATCATTTTCATCCCTGTCTCCACATCCCTCTCTCACACGCACACACGCACGCGCACACGCACACGCACACACACACACACACACACACACACACACACACACACACACACACACACACACACACACACACACATGTACCTTTGTTTGTTTTTATTACGATTTTTATAGCCTTGTTGTTTTCGTTTTTTGTTTTTTACTATCATTATTTCATATTTTAAGGTCTGTTACATGGTTTTTAAGATATTTGTGTAAGCTGACGGTATCGCCATCTACCTTCTTATATATAGGTTCCACTGAAAATCAGCTTTCATGAAGTTTCTTAGTGTTAAACTTCGTGAATTTAATGTTGGTGCACTAATAGCATAAAAGAATTTTTTTCTCTTTGTAACTAAATTACTGTGTTTATGTCTTTTATGTGTTTTTTACGTTTGTGTACCAAATAAATATTTTTCTTTCTTTCTTTCTTTCTTTCTATATCTGACCTATGAGGTGGCGATTAATACTACGAAATTAATAGGTTTTCTTAAAAAATACTTATATATTTGTGGTTATATTATTATTACAATTCTTTTAGTAAGTACTCACCGCGTGTCTAGATGGTATAGGAAATAGTTTAAATAAAAAAATAATAATAATTTTAGTGTAGTTATAAGTAGGTATGTATACCTAACTCTGAATGAGTGAGAATGAGACTTTATCGGTATGGTAACAAATTTTCTTGAAAATTCAATAGATAACAGATAATTTGTTATTTAATCGTCTTAAATAATTATCTATTTATTGCGTATATTGTACAATGAGTCGTACAATAGAATTACGGGTGAGTGACACACTTACCTTATACCGAATTATACCAATGCCTCCCGGTGGAAGCTGCCTATTTCATGCGATCGCGGTTTCAGATATTAAGTAATGTATATGTTCACATGAAAAAATTCCCTATATGCTTAGTATATGTTATTACTATCCACAAATCACAAGGCCTTGACAGTGCTCTTCTCGACATAGGCTCCTCTATATTTAGTAGAGTGCAGGCTTACGTTGGACTCTCTTATCAATTTAGATCCAAGTCAAATTAAGTCACAAGAAAGCTCTATTGTAGAGTACAACCGTCTGCGCACGTTATACCGCTCCGAATTGGCCAAATTAAGTATAAACAGAAAATGCGTTAAAAAAATCCGGATACTGAATGGGCAATTCACTCAAACATATCAAAGGTACAAGAAAATATAGAAAATAACGTAAAAAGACAATTATAACCCCGTAAACGTAGAAAATACAGCAGTGTAACAAAAACCATTTGGTATTAATTTTGTTATAAATGAGTACCTACTAATAATTTATGTACAAAAAGTAGTGATATCCCATGAATAACATAAATGTAAAATGAGAGCCAAATTCAATATTATGATAATATATGCCTTGGTTGTTGACTTCAACGACAAAAGAAGTGAGATCAAAATGGGTGCCAAGTTCAATGGTCAGCCCTGTATAACAACATAAAATATCATTTCTCCTTATAACTTAGGATAATATATTGTAGCCTACGGTCTGACTTGGCTAGTTCTCATATACGAATTATCATGTTCAAGTATCATTTCTTCTTATAACTTAGGATAATATATTATAGCCTAAGGTCTGACTTGGCTAGTTCTCATATACGAATTATATTATAGCCTTCGCAAGTTCTAAACCTGTTACTTTTCGGTTATTATTTTATTATTCCGAAAATTTGGCTTGCTGGTAAAAACTAGCCATCGAACATGATAATTCGGATATGAGAACTAGCCAAGTCAGACCTTAGGCTACAATATATTATCCTAAGTTATAAGAAGAAACGACATTTTATGTTATTATAAATAAATTTCAAATAAATCATACAATATAGTATACGAAGTTATAATAAACATAATCAATAAAATTAATAAAGTAATTTTAAATAATATGCCTCAAGCTTACGTTTAAATGTATTTATTGAAGGAGCATCTTTTAAATCTCGTGGAAGTTATATATTATATGTTAAGTGACATGCAGCTTTCGTATTAAATATATACACTGTATTCTATTGTGATATTAAAATTGCAGGTACAACGAAGTCCGGTAACGTAGGATTGGCACTGTCTCAAGGCTTGATCCTTGTGAACATGGTGCAATACGGCATCAAGATGGCGACGGAGGTGATATCTCAGATGACAAGTGTAGAGCGCGTGATGCAGTTCACGTCGCTGCCGCAGGAGCAGACGGCCGGCCCGGCGCCGCCGCCCGGCTGGCCGCAACGCGCCCGGCTCGTCTTCAAGGACCTTTATCTACGTTACGACATGGAATCCGAACCGGTACTGAAGAATCTAAACATTGTCATCGAGAGCGGTTGGAAGGTAAGGAACACACGAAATATTTTATTTATATTGAGCTTTTTTATTTTTACGTTCTTTCTACATTTTTTTATAATAACACTAGCCGTAGACTTTGTTCCGTCTTTTTCGGTAGATGTTTCAATAGGTTTCACTCGTCGTTTTACAGTGTGACATGTTAATATCTTCAGTTCAGCGAACTTGCGAAGGGCTGTTAATAATGAAGCCAACATAATATACTAATTGTAAACATGAGTAATTTTGGTCCGTAAATACAGAATTTGTTAATAACTTAACTTAACCACAACGCCATCTATCGGATGCTAGCAAAGATATGAAGCATCATCTCGACGAAACGATTGTAATGTGTGATTAATATTATGTCTTCAATCGGTAAAGTCATTTAGAAGTTATACGATCGCTAACGGACGTACTAACGATTACACATATAAATATGAGCCTACAACGTGGCATTTTTAGAGCGTATATTCAAATATACACAAGTCAAAATCGCTCTGGAACGACTTAATATTGACGCACATTAAAATGTTCCCTGTGTGCGTGACTGCTCGAGGTGGAGCGAGCGCATTATCTAAGTAGCCCGATTTGACAGCTATAAAAATATTTTGTGTGATGATGGGAAAAAAATATGTTGCTTTAAAAACCGATTCTCGAGACATATCGATTAGTTAGAGTTTGCAATCGACAATTTATCTACATATGTAATGATTAAAATTGAATCTCTGGGCATCTCGTTTTATTACACTTATGAGTTTGTAATAATTAGCAGTTATTACATAAATCCAAACTAAGTTTAAATTTGCGCGCGTTTCAAAGCCAAAACATAAACTAAAACCCGACATACTGATTTCTTCCGGAAGGTTTACATATAATAATAGTTTGTATATTATGTATCAGAGGCGCAAAAAACTTAATTTGGATTTATGTAATAACTGTTAAATATTACAAACTCGTAAGTGTAATAAAACGAGATGCCTAGAGATTCAATTTTAATAATTACATATGTAGATAAATTGTCGATTGCACATAATTATTACATAATTAACGCACTTTGAAAGTAGTTTGTTCATAATCGTTTACTGAATCGATTCCTATCATTTTTAATATAGGTAATTTTTTATCCCAAAAATAATTAAAGCTACGTAAATTACAGTCACACTAAATATCTACAGTCAAAACAAACTGAAATGGACCGTAACTAAAGGCAATAAGAATTTTAAGAGTGCAGTTTTATTTGTATTATTACTAATTCTGTCATTCGATAAAAATAAAGAAAAATAAACTTTATTTGAAAGCACATTAAAGTCTTTGCGTTCGTGGATTTGTACTGTGACTACAACATTCTTCCGGAATTAGTATAACTAATTTGATAAATAATCAGTGCATAAATTTTTTTTACTAAAAATTCAGTGTATGTATTATGATTATAACACAATATACTAATTGGGGTGTCTGAGGGTGTGCGTTAATTACGTTACACACACACACACACACACACAATATATATATATATATATAAAAATATCATATATATATATATATATATATATATATATATGTATATATATATATATATATATAAAGTAATATATGTAACTACTAACATCTCACTTGAGCCTAGATCAACTAGATCAAACTGCTTGGCATTGTATTGACAGTGGTATCGTAGGGTTATTTATGTCCATATTCCTGTGCCTGCTCATAGATGGCGGATTTTGGCCTCACAAAAATTATATTAGGTTAGCATATCCACCTACAATCATTCAGATCAGCTTCGAGTTTGGAAAACCAAAAAGCCGATAAATTTTTCAAATTTGTTCGGATTTGATAAAAAACTAGAATTAGTCATAAGTTATAACTATTATTATTGAGTGAATTGAGTATTACATAAAGAACTGTATTATATTTGTCATAACATTGTCCATTATCTTAATAATGTGTGCGAGTTGTGTACGGGAAAGAAATGATGATATATAATGAATAGCTAAACTGCTAGGTATGGATAAAAATAGAAAATAAGTAATGGTTAACTAAGAATAAGTTAAATATATAAAGGAAAAAAAGACAAATTAAATATTGAAATGAAAATATATATTAACACGTGGGAGGTTTATCTAATTGGATAGAGTGATAGGGTGATAGGCATTCCCCATAATTATATACAATAAATATACAATAATTTTTGAAGTGAAAACGTCTTTAAATACATTGGGCATGACCGTCACGCTCAGATACAGTAGGTTTATACAGATGTATATAATATATAGCTCGTTTGGTATGGGGAATATGCACTGAAATCGCGTAACCTCACTCAGATACATATATACAGATGGGTGTGGTTGTATATGTTTGTTTGTGAAGCTAAAGCCGAGCTGTTGGCCGTGCGAAGGCGAGCATCAACATATATACAGCCTATTTGTCGAGCCTCGCCATTGCTCGTCAACGCTCGCCATTGCTCGTCAACGCTCGCCTCACTGACCGAATGTAGGCTAGCGCCAACGTGTGTACGTTTCGTTAGGCGTGCCTTGTCGCCACTCGGGATTGCTCGCTATGAATCGTTCACTTCGGGACAGTGTCGGTTTTTCTGCACAAATCAAAGGCGCTCGCCTGCACTCGGTAAGTCGCGTCCACATGTTAGACGACCATGTCAGTTACAACTTGGCGTCCGTCCCGGTGATATATTGATTTAATTACGTTGCAAGGACATCTTTAAGTTTTTTTAACTTCACATAAAACGTAATAATTATACGCACTTAGTAAAAATAGCAGAAGCTGCAATAACTTTTACGTCATCCATATCATACCAATTCTCAATGACGACTAATTACGGCCAACATGTAGGTAGCTCCACAAGAACTCGTGAACATTGGCCTTGGAATTGGCCTCTTTCGAACTTGACCAACGTGTAGACTGCAGCACTCGCCTTGTATCAATTTGCCTACGCTCGAGTTGGCTGAGGCTTGGCCAACATGTATTACCGGAGTCAGAAGTTTTCACTTCTGAAGTGCGGTCTTACGAGTGACTTAGTGGTCTTAGAGAGTTTTTAACTAATTAATTAACTGACATTCCTCATCAACATTTGTTGTCTTTCGATTATCAATATATTTTTTCTCTACTCAACTGCATATATATTTAATTAAAAATCATCTTTGTGTCTCAGCACCCTCAGTTACCCGATCGAGTATGACTCCGGCAGAGGAGCTCTGGATAACGTATCGGCAATATTACTTGTGGGAAGTATATACATTACCCTGAAATCGTGTATCCTCATTATCATACGTTGTAATCGTACCGGTACAAAAAAAATTGTACAGCATCCGAGTTGCCATGAATGTACTGTCTAATAGTTTCTGCCACAAACACTATTGAGAGCATTTCTTTTTTGATTTGCATACTGGGTCTGAGTGTCAATGAGCGTTAGCAAAGCAAACTCCACTGGACGGCCAATCTGCAGCAGCAGCACTGCCAGCGCACTGGCACTCAGGTCCATCGGCACCACCACCGGTAGCTCCATCGAGTAAAGCACTAACACTGGTGCAGATGTAATTTTATTTTTAAGATTTTCAATAGCATCTGGGCGATATGGCTCCGGCAGCCATTCCGAATTATTTTTCAATAAACTTCGAAGCACAGACACACTTTTAGAATCATTTTATAAATTTGGAAACATAATTCACCATACTCATAAACATCTCCAGTTCTTTACGATCTCAGGATATGGCACACCCGTAATAGCTTTAATTTTACGACCCGTCTGGTTCTATTTCGCCAACTCCAAACTTACACTTCTCCTTATTCAATTTTATACCAAACTCTTTAGCCCATTTCAGAAACATTTTAACCTGAAGTCATTTTGTTCTTTACTATTCCCCCAAACTATTACGTCATCAATAAAAGAGTCGCATTTCGCTTTGCATAAAATACTTCTAGAGAACAATTTACTCCATACGGCAACCGAAGAAACTGATATCGACCCAACGATGTTCTAAATGTGTAAAGATCTATGCTGGGAGGAATAATTTGAACCATCAAAGAAGCGAGGTAGCCCCGCGCAGCCGCGCCGCCAGCTCGCTTACCGTGGGCAGCGAGAGTGAAAAATTCGCGCAGATCAACGGCCTCGGCTCCAAACACGCATGGATTTTACTATTCTTTTTCGCTACTATAGTCACTGCCTGTACATTCTTATTCACGATAGTAAAATACTCCCCAGATAACTTACCCAGTCCCACGAAGAGATCAGTATATTTATAGCTTCTTCACGGGATACGATACGTGTCCTATCCCGTGTTGAAGCTATAAATAATACAGCTTCCCAAGCCCATAACTTTTTGGCAGTTGAAATTCGCTACAACAAATGATTTTCCTTTTATAAATAAATGGTAATTTGTGCATGAATAGGTAAAATGTTACTAGTAAACGACTGTACACGTGATTTATAAAAATATTTATATATTAAATGTTTATGAAACGACATACGTAAGCTTAAATAATCACTTTTCGTAATTACATTCAATATAGAACCTAAATCTAGTTTAAGTTGCACTTCTTTGTAATGTAATATACATTGAAAAATAACATTTTATTTTTTAATAATTATTGGTAATAATTTACATTTTTTATCCTGGCTTACTTATCATGTCCACATAAACATTTCGGCATCGGATATGTCCGCGAACTCACACATATTCAAGCTTTATTTACATTATACAAAACCTTATCACGTAATATATATTAATGCACACACACTTTATCGAAATGTCCTTCTATCACGGCGCCGAGCTACACTTTCACACCACCTTGCTCCAATCTGAAATTGTTCAACAATTTTATTGTTATGAAAATAAGTTTATTAGTTTGAAATCTCACATGTGTAGATCAAGTCCTAAGAAAAACCGTTGATGGTTGGGCGCACGTGAAAATAATCTACTATAAGGCAATGAGGTGTGACTACCAATTTGAAATCATTGCAGGTCGGTGTCGTGGGACGTACGGGCGCGGGTAAATCATCGCTCATATCAGCTTTGTTTCGCCTGGCACCCATTGACGGCCACGTGTACATCGACGATGTCGACACCGGCAAAATTGCTCTAAAGGTAAATTGTGAATGTTCATTTTTTCTTTATACAATTGAATTGACAAACGACCTCATACCTCTTACCTGATTGTAAATGGCTACAGTACTGCAATGAACTACAAACAAAGAGGGCGACAATTGTTGCGCTGTCACTTTTGAGTAGTGAGATGGAATGCCTCACAGCCTGTTGTTGTACTGGCTCCCTGTATCCGGAACACAGCAGTGCGGGCAACGCTATTTGGTGCAGGAACAGATGAGAGGGTAGTCTACCCAACGTACTTCCGCACAGAAAGCGAGTCCTACCACCTGGTACTGCACCACCTAGTGTTGCAAACTTTTTCAAATTCAGCACTTGTTCAGTATAGCAGTACCACTTTTTAATTTTATCTCATATTTAGTGTTTTCGTGTTTATTTTATTTTTTTGCTGAAAACATCAAAGTAAATATGTTCACCTTGGTCCCAACTAGCGACTCCTGGTGAGCGTAAAATTGTTAGCCCTTACTCTCTGAACTAGTGGACATAGACACTACACAGATAGTTGAAGGTATTTTTTTATATTTGAAAATCTAGACTAAAAAAAAACAAAAATTAATTTTTGTAAGTCAATTAGGGTACCAATAAGGCAATGCTAACATGAAACTCAAGGTCATTTTAGAATATTGCTTTCTATTTTCTGATTTATTTCGTATGACAATTGCAGGAGCTTAGATCCAAGATCGCCATCATTCCTCAGGAGCCGGTGTTGTTCTCCGCCAGCTTGCGCTACAACATGGATCCATTTGACAAGTACACTGATGCCGACATATGGCAGGCGTTAGAACAGGTAGGTACTACGCCTCTAGTTATCTATATAAAATACGAAAGTATATAAATGAAGACTATTATTGCCGTCGCAATATTTAATTATCAAAATAAAATAAAATTTTTTTTTTCTTTATTAGCCCCTAACATAATAATGTCCTCCCGACCCGAATTTCGGTCACGGCGGCCTGCAACAACGGAGACTAGCCATCGGCGCAGGACAGGATTATAGTGCCCAAGTGTATGCGCAAGCACAGGTGCACTCTTTATTCCCTCACTCTTATAATCCGATGGGACGGAAAACCGACACGACCGGAGAGAAATGAGGCGCAGGGCCAACAGCTTTACGTGCTTTACGAGGCACGAGGTTAGACACTGCCAACTTAATCACTCCGGGCACTACTGAGAATTTCTTGACGGAAAACTCAATAATTGATTTTTTGGCCCGACCTATTCCCCGGGACCTCATGATGAGCAGTCGCAATAGTACAACCACTAGACCAACGAGGCAGTTATAGCCACTGCTGAAAGTAGGTCTCTCCCATAGTAGAGAAGGTTCTACATTGCCGCGTCGCCGTTTTGGGAAATATCTAATGTTCGGCGCGAGTCGCGAATGCTACTAACAGTATTTGCGCATGTACGTCCAGCCAATATACTGCAGGCGAATGACACGTATATGTCCAGTGAATGACGAAGATTAACATACGGATCAGCGATATGAAAGAATGTTTACCGTGTCCACCCCAAGTCCTTGTACACTTTTATTATAGAATAAGGTTGACAAGCGAGTACACAGCCACCAGATGGTAAATGGATGCTGTGGGCTTTAGACATCTACATCTCCCTCGAATAAGAATTTAAATGCAGGTGCATCACCCCTGAGGACTAAGATTGAATGCCTCGTATCCAGTAAATAGGGTCTCCGGTTCTCGAAACTCACCATACGAAACACTTCAGCAGTAATTTGATACTCCTGTTTGCTCGAGACCTTAAAATGGCAAGAATTGCAAATTTTTTGCTAACTTGCAAATTTTGCCATATTTTCACTTTGAGAGAATATTTATGGATAAAACTTACAGGAATTCTTGTTGAATATATAAACTATCGAATAAAATAATTTTTAATTGCTAGAAATTATAGTAAAATTCATAAATGACCCTTTCAAAGCATAGTAGTAGTAGATACTTCACTTTTAGTCACGAAAATACTAATAAAATAAATTCTACACGTTTGTTTTTTGAGAAATCTTAATGAAAATGTTTGGAAATATGTATATTTTTATGTATTTTTATTCGTTACTAATACCAAAATATTTTAAAAAAAATTAAAAAAATCCTAAATTCATTGTTATTTGTATGATTTTTCAAACAATATTCCAAAAATATTTTTGTGTGAATTTGAAATAAATACAACGTCAAGTTATTTGAAATATGTTACAAAATTATTTTTTATTTACATTTTCCATAAATGAGAATGGAAAAATTAAAACATTTTTGACCCAACCGCTAAAACGGAACTTCTCGATTTCGAAGTATTTGTTGCGCTTACTTTTCACTTTTTACGCCTCAAGTTATATATCTACGTGTTTGTTATATTACAAAAAATATACAAAAGTATAAAACTTACCTTTTATTTTAAAAACACACAGAAAAATGGAGAAATCACTAAGCACTAGCTCGCGCACTACTGGTGTAAAAAGCCGTTACTTCAGAATGAATTTTTATGTTGAATAAAACTAAATTTACGGATTTTATCGCGTTTATTTCACTACTTTTACTTATTATTAATTCCCGACGTTTCGGGTGCTTTACAGCAACCATGGTCACGGGGGGGGGGGCTGAGATGTTTGACGTCCCAATGTCATAGTCCGGCTACCTTCAGTTTTTGAATATTAATTTTCGGTCCGATTTACGCAAAACGAGCTTATAGTATCATGAATTCTTGCAGTGGTATGCTTAGGTTTGGGTTTAATTTTGTTAATTATAGGATCCCAAGCAGGTGGCAGTACCCATCCATCTTCTCTATTGAAATTTGGATTTTTTTTAATTTCAATAGCCTCGCGTATCATCCTTGGTAGGAATCGGTGTTCTTTTGCGAGAATTTGTGGTTTATCAAAACGAATGTAATGGTGGGGACGATCTTGAACATGTTCGCAGACTGCAGACTTCCCGGAGCGTCGGTGCTTCACGTCAGCTATATGTTCTTTCACGCGGGTTTTTATGGATCTTTTTGTTTGACCTCTGTAAGAGAGACCACATTCACAATCTAACTTGTACACTCCTGCATCTTGTAGAGGGATATTACACTTGACGGATTGTAAAAATTGACTAATCTTCTTCGGCGGCTTGTAGTATGTTTTAATAGAAGCTCGCTTCAAGATGTAGCCTACCTTGTCTGTGACTCCTCTGACATATGGTAGTACAGCAGGTACACGCTCGACTGTGGCCGGCTTCACTCGGTCACTGTGACGTAGGCGCGGGACCCGAAGCTTGTTGTGTTGCAATACTTGCTTGACGTGCTGAAGTTCGGCGGCCAGATGTTTTCTGTCACAGATCCCTCGTGCTCTCTGAAACAAAGATTTACCCACGGTAGCTAACTGTGAAGGATGATGGTGAGATTCACCATTTAAATATCGGTTGGTATGGGTCTTTTTTCTATACACAGTGTGACCAATTGTGTTATTAGGATTTCGAATGACTAAAACATCTAAGAAAGCTAAAGATTTATTTGCCTCTAACTCCATTGTCAATTCTATTTTAGAGTTTATAGAGTTAAGGTGGTTTAAAAATGCAGTTACTTTGTCAGATTGTAAAATTGTGAATGTGTCTCTACGTACCGCTTGTAGAATCTTGGATTTACAGGAGCAGTAAGAAGGGCTTTCTCCTCGAAGTCCTCCATGAATATGTCAGCGACTATGGGAGATACAGGTGAGCCCATCGCCACACCATCTACTTGCTTGTAGAACTCTTCCTTCCACAATAGATAGCCAGATGTGAGGCAGTGTTTGAGTAATACTGCATATTCAGCAAGCATGTTATTATATTCTAGCTTCCTAGTTACAATTGATATGCAGTCTTCAATAGGTAGGCATGTGAATAGTGACTGAACATCAAAACTGACCATAGTTTCATTGTCAGCGAGATGTAGGTCTTTTATCTCACTAACAAAATGGTATGAATCCTTTGTGTGTGCTCTGGTATGTCCTCTCAGTGGTGACAGTACTTTTGCCAAGTGTTGTGCCAGCTTATAAGTTGGTGAATCGATCTGGCTCACTATCGGACGTAGTGGAGCGTTTGGTTTGTGTATCTTTGGTAACCCATACAACCTCGGTGGTTTGGTACATGATGGTATTAGCGAATTCACGTCGAGATTTAATTTTTCAGAGTAAAAGTAGTGAAATAAACGCGATAAAATCCGTAAATTTAGTTTTATTCAATGTATAGTGTTCGCGTAAATTTAAGAAATCGTTATGAATTTTTATGTTTATTTTTTACTTGATATTGACAGATTATGGTACCAATTAAAGAGTATGTCTTTGTCTATGTCTATATTATACATTTCAGTATATCTTTTTTTATAGTTATAATGACAAACCCTTTTTTGTCGGGTTGGACCTCAAAAATTCTTAAGGCACAAATCTGTGCCTCTCCCGAGCGAGCGTCGGGGCGTCGTGTCGGGCACAAATTCGGTCCATTGACTACGTTACAGGTTAAGCTTTTATTTTACGCTACTATTCTGAGAGACCTTTCACAGAATAGCAGTGTGTTAACGCAAGGAAACCATCGTATTAAAACAGTATTCAAATGCCTTTAGCGTCCAATCCTGTCAAGATCGTATAGCGGCGTCTAGTACGTATAGCATCTTCTTTGAAAATCTGAAAAAAAAATGGACTAGATGGATCTTGGTCAATCAGACACCGCATCGTGTCGCGACGTGTTAAGTGTATACGATACGAGGCGAAACATATTATCGTAAGACGTAGAGATGTAATATTAAATACGGAATGGTCGCAAACGTCACATGATCGCGTATAATTTTGCATTAAAAGTGCATCGTGATGAAAACATGATACGCCATGATGATAAAATGTGGACCCAAGCCATTAGTAGTTATAAGGAGGAAGCTGCTGCTAATTTTCTATTTTGTTTTCCGCTGTCGCCTTTTACGACACTATAGGTAGTTTAGGTTCATATGAAGCAACTATTGAAATATACTCTAAGCAAAGTAGAAATTATCTTCTTGTTTTAATTTCTAAAATCGTTTCAAAAACAAATTGAAAAGTTTTTTAATCACTGTAACTGAAACAAGGAAGACAACAAACAAAGTTTCAAGTTTACACCTACAGTTCAAAACGCAGCCCATGGAGAATCTTTCCTATAGACTGTCGGTTCGTTAAGCTATACTTTTTTATATGTGATAAGTGAGCATGGATATAGATATCTACATCTTCCCTCGATTAATAAAAATGCAGAAGCGTGAGGACTAAAGTAAAATGTCTCGTTTCCAGTTAAAAGGTTCTCCGGTTCTTTACACTCAACAAACAAAACACGGTAGCATTATGCTGCTATTTCACGCCACTATTTTGAGAAATCCTTCCCCAGTCGAGCCAACCCATCCGTGTAACAATTATAATGTAATAGGTTGGTGACAAAAGTTTCTTCGTATTTGATATACAAATTCGAGGCATTTTTTTTCTAAGTTTAATTACAATTAATTATAAGATATATGATGCCCTTCCAATCCCACCATACACACAGCATCATCTTATTACGTGTTAAATCGGGTTCCGTTGCAAGTCTGTGCAGCTGGCTGTTACTCTTTGACCATTGCACGTTCTTGTCGTAGATGATACATTTTTCATCACAAGTGTTCAATATTTTCAAAGATGGCTCGGTTTCATTACGTTTCAATAGAAAATCGCAAATGAGTACACGATTCAGTAGGTTTCTTTCGGTGAGCTCGTGTGGTACCCTAATATCGCTATATAAGGTTTTTTGTATAGCCGGACATTTTCAAATGGGTCAAAATTGTTTTGTGTAATCTGTGTTTGGGGTCAATTACCGATTCCTAGGCTATGTCGTAACTACGAATATGCCGATCTTTTTTCTTTTTTTCAAATATGGCATTATGACTTTATCCGTACGAGGGCGATTAGAGCGAACTGCATCTTTTACATCGAAATTTCCGGACTGATTACACTTAAACCAAGTTTCTACTACTCTTACTGACACTGCATTGGGACAATAGACGTCAAAAAATTATCGAGGCTTAAGTCACATTTTTCACTTTTTTGTAAGAAATCTTCAGAATGTATCGAATTTCTTTGTTAGATTAACTCATTTTGGCGGACAGAAAAACAAATAAAAAATGGAGAGAAAGTGTTTTTACTTTTCTTTCTCTCAATGTCCTTTATGTTTTAATATTAAAACCAAAAAGATACAAACTGTACAACCAAAGAGATTTTTCTTCAATTTTATATTTAAAAAAAAAAAAACGAAGAAACCTGTTCCCCGATCTATTAAATGCAATATGGCTTTATTGCGTAAATATGAGATATATAGGTACCCGTATTTGCACTTTTTTATTGGGACTTCAGCTTAATGTTTTGTCACCTTTCAATCACAATATAATTTACCAGAAACTAGCATTTTCCTCATGCTAAGTACCATTAGAAAATGAAATTTAAAGACTACATACTACGCAACGACTGAGCAACCAGTCTAACAAAGTTTTCGTAATTAAAGGCATCATTAGACTTCGGTTTTATACAAATAATCTTTTTCCTTTAAATGTTTAACTGTTAAGAGATATATATAATTGACTAAGTTAATAACCCGACTTTTCCATTTGTAATTTAACCGTCATCTTAAAGGTAAAGTTACATCATTTATATACCCTACTGCTTGGCATAGACATCCTCTTATTCTGAATTATGATTATGTTCTTTCAAAGCCGTGGTAGCTCAGCTGGTTTGCGCTCGCTGTAAATTTCACAGTACGCTAGCAATCTGATTTCGATCCCCGCCGGCACCAATTAAATTATTAATTGCGATTTAAAGTGCTGATTTACCACGTGCTCACCGGTAAAGGAAAACATCGAACCTGCATGCCTGAGAAATAAGAAAAATTTTTTTTCGAAGACATGTGAAGTTCGCCAATACGCATGGGTAGCGCGGCGGAGACTTCCTTAACTAACTTAAATCTTTCCATGTCGAAGGAATCTATATTTGCGCGAAATAATGAATATGTGGTTAACTTAGTTTTGCGTAATGGATTAAATGTATATAAATCAGTTTCTCCGGACGAAGCAAATTATGCGATGAACTCCCCGCACCGCCGTTAACTATCCCAGATTTATTTTTCTTTAGTAACGGACACATGCGATATTACTTTAGCCATTATTTAGTAATATGATACAATTTATATTTTTAAAAACTTCTTCACAATATATTGATGCGTATAGTCGAAGAGATATTTGTTTAGCAAACACAATAACTTGATGATAACATAACCTTCGGAGTGCTCGTTTTATTATTTCCAATAATTGTGTACATGCTCGGACACGTAAAATACAAAACAATTAAACAAGAATACAAGAGCAGCAATCCGCTGCTGGTCTGGTGGTCTAATTCTCCGCCAAAACTCCATTCCGGAGTCAAAAGTAAGTTGCCAGCAGTATAAAAAGTGTGTGTTGTGCAGGTGGAGATGAAGCAGAGCGTGACGTCACTGTCGGCGCCGGTGGCGGCGGGCGGCGCCAACTTCAGCGCGGGCCAGCGCCAGCTGCTGTGCCTGGCGCGCGCCGCGCTTTGCGCGCAACCGCCTGCTCGTGCTCGACGAGGCCACCGCCAACGTCGACCCCAAGTCAGTGCCAGCGTTGTATACTGCTATCTGTACCGTTACAGCTTAGCAAAAGTTTTCTCTCTCTCCCTTTCTCTGCTCCCTCTCGTCTCAATTTTCTCTCTCTCTCTCTTTCTCTGTCGCCTCCCGCCTGCTCGTGCTCGACGAGGCCACCGCCAACGTCGACCCCAAGTCAGTGCTAGCGTTGTATACTGCTACTTCTACCGTTACAGCTTAGCAACAGTTCTCTCTCTCTCTCTCTCTCTCTTTCTCTGTCGCCTCCCGCCTGCTCGTGCTCGACGAGGCCACCGCCAACGTCGACCCCCAAGTCAGTGCTAGCATTGTATACTGCTGCCTCTACCGTTACAGACTAGCAAAAGTTCTCTCTCTTCTCTCTCTCTCTCTCTCTTCTCTGTCGCTTCCCGCCTGCCCGTGCTCGACGAGGCCACCGCCAACGTCGACCCCCAAGTCAGTGCTAGCATTGTATACTGCTGCCTCTACCGTTACAGACTAGCAAAAGTCTCTCTCTGTCTCTCTCTCTCTCTCTCTCTCTGTCGCCTCCCGTCTGCCCGTGCTCGACGAGGCCACTGCCAACGTCGACCTGAAGTCACTGCTAGCATTGTATACTACCACCTTTATCGTTACAGCCTAGCAAAAGTTCTCTCTCTCTCTCTCTCTCTCTCTCTCTCTCTCTGTCTGCCTCCCGCCTGCTCGTGTTCGACTAGGCCATCGCCAACGTCCACCCCAAGCTACTACACTACACTGTCAACGTTAGGGTCGGTTCTTTCTTTAACTATCTTTCATTGACTTCACCTATATGATGGGCTAAAATTCAAAACGTGATTTTTCATACATACATAATACATAAACACTCAAGCCTGTCACCCAGAGGGGTAGGCAGAGACTACAGACTTCCATTTGGCACGATCCTGACACACCTACGCATACATGCTCGTCGGTTAAGGGTACTCCTAATTTGGCCCGTTTTCAATAAATCGCCTATTTGGTCGTTAAATTTTCGCCTAGGACGTCTCTTTCCGACTCTGCCATTCACTTCTGCACCATAAATTTTCTTTGTCACTCTTTCCTCATTCATTCTTTCCACATGACCAAACCACCGAAGCATTCGTTTCTTAATCCTGGTCACAACATCATCTTGCAAACCACACTCTTCTCTTATTACACAATTTCTTACCCTGTCATTCAGATTCAGCCCTAACATACTCCTTAACGACCGCATTTCTACTGAGTTTATTCTACTCTTGTGCTTCTTCTGCCACACCCAACTTTCACTACCATACGTTAAAGTAGGGACCAACACAGCATTGTGAATTGCCATACGTGCCTTTTTCGACACATTTTGACTCTTCACAAGATGAGTGCAAGGCCCCATTTACTCTATTTACCGTGATTTTTCACTTGACAAAAAATATATTTTATGGGCTAATCGTATTCTCTATGGTTACTTAATGAAAAATGTCATGTATCCGAGCAAAAACAAATTTGTCCCTTTGGAAAAAAATTAAAAATACAGATTGTATGAGCATAAAAGGTTTCGTCCCTTGACAGTTGCCTGGAAGAAGAAATTGCAATTCCTAATTTTTTTAATGAAGAGTACTATGTATAACGAAAAATTATATTTTAATTTATTTATTGTTACCTAGAATAAGCTGAGTAGATTAACTTTTTTTTTCTATAGAATCATGAAGCAAAACGTGATTTATCCGAACCTATTCATTCAAAACATGATATTTAAATTTTATTTGTAAAATTAAATATGTCTAATAACTACCAGAAAGAGACAATAAAGGTCATAATTAGCTTTTTAATTTATTAATATAAAGTTTTTTTGGATTCCCAACAATCTGATCTGAGTGACAAATCACGTTTTGAAGTTTAGCTCCTCATGTACCTATATATAATAAAAATATTAGTTTATTTATTTATGCTTTCATGCACAAAGTAGTACATATGGAAAACTTAATGCCATAGGGCATTCTCTCCCAGTCAACCATTAGGCCCAGGCCCAGTCAACCATTAGTTCAATTTTGACACGTCCAAACGACTGAATAATTTATACTCGTAAAATAAATGTAAATAATCGTTTCAAAAATGCATATTGTTATTCTTAAGACTATAGGTAGGTAAGTAACTAGCGATCCTACCGGCTTCGCACTGGTGAATTCTGGATCTCGACAGCAGCGTCACCTACCAATCCCTACCATTCTTAATCACACAAAACATTTTTAACAATATTGCTCAAGCCGTATAAAAATTGCTGACATTTCTAAATTTGATTCCAGTACCGATGCCCTAATCCAGAAGTCAATACGCAAACATTTCGCCAAGTGCACAGTGATAACGGTGGCTCATCGACTGCACACTGTCGCCGACTCCGATCGAGTCATCGTAAGTTTTGTTCAAGTTTCATACGCATAACGTGAACATTCCACATAAAATATCTTATATAGGTCGACTTTCAGTGGATTTTATTTTTTGATCAATTAATATCAAATTATTTCAATGATATGTCACTATATCACCGAGAACTATTTTTCAAATTGAATCACGTGAGTAATAGAATCGCACCTTTAAATTATAAAACTCATGTTCTTGCTAATTCTAATGTCTAACTGAAATTTTACGTACAGTAAAAAACTGAGTAAACAATTGACTTTCTCAGGTCATGGAAGCCGGTCAGATCATGGAATCAGGTCATCCACACGAGTTGCTACAGAAAAGTGACGGCTACTTCACCAGCATGGTGAAGCAACTGGGTCCCGCCTCGGAGCAGAGTCTGAGGGAGCTAGCTAGCAACGCCTACGCACAACACATCAAATACGTAGACGCTGACGAACAAGCCCAATCTTAATACTTATATTAAATAATTTCGGATATTAGGTAATTTATGGTAGAAAGCCCTAGGTCATCATAGAAGATCGTTACCTATGGCAGCAGCTCTTTATTAGAGCAGAACGTTGTCTTTACCGAGTGTGATGGATAAGCATTGTGTAACAATGTGATGGATAAGCATTTAACCAATAATAATCATGATAGTTAAGCCGAAGTTATTTCAAATACGTTAATATAGTATATTTACTCATCACAATGTATAAAATATTTACTCATACACACTTATCAAATATTTACTCATCATAATGGTATAAAATATTTATTACAATAGAAATCCTAAAAGTATAATGATCAAACAGTGCCACTCCTCACACTAAAGTGCTTAGAATTAGAACTCTGACTGCGATTCCTCAATAAATGACTATGCTTAGCCTATGGGCGAGAAAAAAATAGCCCCTTGTAAATAAATACATAGAAAAGTAGAAAATCTTTATTGCACTCAAACCAATTTTGTATAAAAGCGAACTTAATACCGAAAAGGCATTAAATTCGCCAGCTCACATTTGGCAGTGTGGTGGGAGCTATGGGTAGAGCAGCGACAGAAAAAAAACTAGCTTATTTAATCATAATTGTTTTAAAAAATAGCCCCTTGTAAATAAATACATAGAAAAGTAGAAAATCTTTATTGCACTCAAACCAATTTTGTATAAAAGCGAACTTAATACCGAAAAGGCATTAAATTCGCCAGCTCACATTTGGCAGTGTGGTGGGAGCTATGGGTAGAGCAGCGACAGAAAAAAAACTAGCTTATTTAATCATAATTGTTTTAAAAAATAGCCCCTTGTAAATAAATACATAGAAAAGTAGAAAATCTTTATTGCACTCAAACCAATTTTGTATAAAAGCGAAATTAATACCGAAAAGGCATTAAATTCGCCAGCTCACATTTGGCAGTGTGGTGGGAGCTACGGGTAGAGCAGCGACAGAAAAAAAACTAGCTTATTTAATCATAATTGTTTTAAAAAATAGCCCCTTGTAAATAAATACATAGAAAAGTAGAAAATCTTTATTGCACTCAAACCAATTTTGTATAAAAGCGAACTTAATGCCGAAAAGGTATTAAATTCGCCAGCTCACATTTGGCAGTGTGGTGGGAGCTATGGGTAGAGCAGCAACAGAAAAAAAACTAGCTTATTTAATCATAATTATTTTAAAAGGCCGCAATGTTGATTGTATTATCATTTAGTTTTTAGTATACGATATATACATAAGTGCCCAGGAGGCAAATTCGTTTCAAATTAGTAATGTGATTCTATATTTGTGTAAACAATTACGAACCGTCAAACAGAAACTTAACATCACAAGACTTGTGATTTGTGCTTATGTGCATATTTTTTGAGATTTATTGTACTTACTAGGAATGCCACAAGGTACATTAATATAGAAATAAATATATATTAAAATAAATTATAGTGACGCATTCAAATTTTCACAAAATAATTTGTTACTAGTTTATTGGCTTTTATGTTATATAATAATAATTCTAAGGTAATTTAAAAGCCACGCCGGAAAATATACTTAATATCACAAAACAAGGATTTGACTGACATCACTATAGCGACATTGGTGACATAACATTAATTTAATTTTTTTATAATTTTAAATTCCCGTTAATGATTGCAGATGTCAAACGTTAACCCCACCGAAATGTCTCAAAAAAGGCATACAACTTGAAACTATTAAAAATATTTCTGACAGACGTGTACAAAAAAACCATACTATAAGATTGTACGTTAACTGTGACAGTGGTCTAGGAAAAAGCCTTTGTAATTAATGTGTGCGTACTTTAAAAACTTACCTGAGATACTCACAAATTGTACGTAAATATTAAAGTGACATGCGTCCATATGTACATTTATAATAATACCATTAGAAAAAAAGGCTCGTAGAATCAGGAGTGCAAAAAGTTTCATATCAAAGTAATTTCAAACAATTTTAAGAAAAGTGGTTTCATTTACTACTGTATTGTTCCTAAATTACCCTTGGCTGATAAAGCTAAAAATATTATAAATTTAAGAACTGGTATTTAAATAGATTATAATAAATTATGCATAGATCGTAAATGTAACATGTTTGTTGTACTTTTGCTATAATTCATCAAATGCCTGTAAATGCATTTGATGAATTATAAATAAATTTATAATGCTATCGTAAATGGAGTGTACATAGTTTCTGCTTCTGTGTTGAAAAGAATGAAAAGGTGTTCAAGTTAATGAAAATAGGTTAAAATTATAATATTTCACCAAAATACCGGTATAATATGAATAAGTTGTGACGTATTTAAGATATAAATACAGTGGAGCCCCGGTAATCCGGCCCCTGGCTAATGCGGCACCCCCTTATAATCCGACATCGTCTATTACATACATATATTCGCTAATGCACGATTGAACAAGTTACAACTTGTAGGTCCGCAACATCACTATTGTGCTCGACGCGTAGTCTATTTATTTTGTCTAATTTGTTTGTACACAATTATTTCCTAATGTAAAGTTATTGCATATTTTTTGGTAAATTTTATAGCATTAATGACGTTAATTTTATAATAAAACGTTATCTTTCTATTGTGTTGTTTAATTTACTAAATTTGACATACATAATGAAGTATGATTTGTAATCTTATCATTGGATCTGTGATTTGTCGGATTACAGGGTACTCCTTTGTAAAATAATTCGGACTATAGGGTGTCTTAGGCAGTACTTTATAATCCGACAAATTCGATAGTTCGACACTGCCCTGCAAAATGTTTGTCGGACTACCGGGGATCCACTGTACGTTGTTACTTTACCTCATAGAAGAAGTAATCTTAGTACCTATTCTGTTTTAAAGAAAATCTAATAATATCGAATTGTCGATACGAAATAGGTTAGCTTTATGAACTATTTAAATGTATACTACGTAAAAGTCCTTTTTGTAACTTAAAAAAGACTAAAGTCTATTTTCAACCGCTAAAAATTATAGACGGTCAAATTTAAGTTTCTAGTTCCTTTTAGGTAATGTACCTTCAAAAATTGTACTTCACATAATAAAAAATAAGTAAAATAGAGTTAAATAATATTATTATGTAAAACTTGTGTATTTTGTTAAAAAAGTTACCCTAACACTGGTGTATTTCATTTGCCTATTTCATTTACGGAAGGTATTATTTGCACAGAACTTATTACTTATATTACGTAGTAATTAACGCTATGGCGTCAATGATATTTAAAATTATATAAAGAGGTACATACGTTAAGACCACGCCAAAACTGAAACGTCGGAAATTTGAACACTTCGCCACTCTTTTTTCACTCTAGCCATTTGCTAAGAAGTATGACGCCATGATTACGTAAGCTTAATGAAAAGGACAACAATAGCTGTTCCAGAACTGAGGGCGTAAATAAGTGGCATTCGCTCCATGTCTAATCTATTTCGAAAATTGATTTTGTCCTAGCGATATCGAAATTAAAGTGGTAGACAAGGTGACATAACGTTAATTCGTAGCGTTCTTTCGATAAAAATCAACTTCTTGGCTATGGTCTCGAAATGAAACGTAATATTCAAGACATTAATTGTGTGGAACCGGGCGCGCTAAATATAAACACATACTTGATAACTTGTTAAAATAAGGTTTGTTTTTATACCAATAGGTGAGTAGTTGAGGGCAACGCGGTATCGTTGCTGTACAGACCTTACAGATCTCGCACCGCTCCCACAACAACAAGTCAGAAATAAGCCTTTAGCGGACACGTGCTGTTAGGATGGCTCGCCTGGGGTCCTTTTTAAAAAAAGACACCTTTACTGCTGCAAAACTAATTTAATTTAATTTACACTTCGAAATATTATAAACTATAACAAAGTTGTGTACCGAACAGAGGTTAGAGTTTGACTGCTTAAATTATATGAAAAATCACTTTTATATACTTTATATAATGCTTACAACAACAATTACTACCTTGTACATCGGTTCATAACATCTCCCCCCTTAAGACGGAGGCTTATCCTTTAAGATAAACGTAGGATACAATAAAGTCGAGATCCTAAGTTAATACAATAAAATATTGAAATACAGTAAAATCATTCAACAATTATAAAAATTTTAACTGATACAATTGCAATAGCTAATGCTTTATTTTAATTGACAATCTTATTCAATTAACAACTAAGAAACATAATAATAAGGAATATAAAACTTGAAAAAGAAATGAGTGAATTTTAATCGCTACATTATAAAGCAAAGTAATATAAATATTAATCGATTAATAACTGAGAAACTTGTTTAAAAATTAAAAAATAGTTTTGAAAAGAATTTTACAATTTTAATTGTTATTTGACTATATTAATAATAATTATCGATTGAAACTTAAAACATGATTAGAAATATTAAAATGACTTTAAGAAGAAATTTATACATTTTATTCTTATTAAGTATATTAGTAATATTGTTTAATTTATAACAAGTAACATGTTAAGAAAAGTAATTAATAAATTTTAATTTTTTAATAATTGCTTAAATTTCGGTTATAAGAAGCTCTGTTAAATTTCCTAAATTGAACCTTGTCCTTGTTTTTACTTATCTCTATTTCTGGGAGACTACTAATCGATTTCAATTGTCGCATTCAATTGATTCATCTGAAATATCCGTTAGTTCAATAAAAGTGTTAACATTAGTATAGTTTTTATTACATTTTTTATTATAACACTGATTATATATTTGGATGCAACAAGATGTATTTTTACAACAATTTGAAAAGCATTTATTATATATTTTATATATTTTATACAATTATTTATAATTTTATACTGAAGTAATTATGTCACTTCCAGAAATATGCGATTCGAAAATAATCTATGGTAATATTAATTTATGGCAATTACAATATAAGTTAGCGTTGAATAATAATGCCCGTATTTAACAATATGAGGCTGATTCTCGGCTTGATGAATTTGATTCTTTAAACTATCTTATTTATATGACG